GTTTAAAAAAAAGGACAATGAACATTAAAATTTCAACAAAAGGGTCAGAAAATAAAGTCAAGGATATCCCCCAGAAAGTAATACAAAAAGACATAAGACATGGAGATGGACAACATCAGACAATGAAAACTTTAGAGAAGCAACACAGGAAGTTCCACAGCCAACTAACAATAAGTAGTTCCAGGAAAAAAAAAAAAAAAACAGGGAAGAAATTAACAAAGAAAAACACAAGAGCATTTCTGAGGACTAAAGAGTATGCATGACCAGGTTATCAAAAGGGGCTACTCAGTACAATGAGTGAAAAAGGAATTAAATCTGGCCCAACACGACACTTCAAAATAACAGGGATAAAGAGCTTCTAAGCGCTTCAAAGGGTGGAGGGAATATTGGGATATATATATATTGGGTTGTTGGAAAAGTCATGACACATTTTTGCAACAAACATAGAAAAAATACATCATGACTTTTCTGACAACCCAATAGTATAATTTCTTTACAATACCACTAGAAGCTTCAAGAAAGTGAAACAATTCTGAGAAGTTAATTCTAAGCAATATAATATATACAAACTACCAATCAAATATAAAAGAACAGAACATTTTCAGACATTCATTTCTCAAAAATTTTACCATCTAAGCAACCTTTCTATTAGAAGTGTCCTTCACCAAATCAAGAAAATGTACCAAAAAGGGTATGAATGAGAGCGAGGCTACAGAGAAGAGAAGGAAACCCCCAGGATAACAGTTGTAGAGCATGCCTTGGAGAGTAACCAGTTTAAGATGAAGTAAAATGATGTTTAGCAACTTTTGTTTCATTATCTACCCCATAAGCCTTTTCTTTCTTAATTGGTGCTTCCCCACAAAAAAATACTTTAATACCACAGATATACTGTGTATCTATTTATGTACCATGGTCCTTTGAAGAGCCACAAACCATTGTAATATCTATTATTTTTTGCCCCCCCAAGAACCAAATTTTCCCCTCCACTGAAGGATGCTATCATTTTAGGAAGGAGATCTTGATAAACGGATTATTTGATAAATTTATCTGTGTGCGATAAAAGGAAATATACATTGGTCTC